ACATTGCCGTTACTATGTTTAGGTAAGTGCCTTGTATCCCTGATCTCTCCAGGACTTTAAACATAAATGAATGTCGAATTTTATCAAATGCTTTTTGAGCATCTAAGGAGATTATCATGTGGTCTTTTTCTTTCAGTTTGTTTGTACGATGGATTATATTAATGAACTTCCATATATTGAACACCCCTGCATGCCTAGGATGAAGCTTACTTGATCATAGAGGGTGATATCTTTTATGTGTTCTTGGATTCGGCCTGCGAGTATTTTGTTGAGTATTTGCTGTGCATCAATATTCATAAGAGAGGTTGGCCTGAAATTGTCTTCCTTTATTGGATCTTTGTGAGGTTTAGGTATCAAGGTGACTGTGGCTTCACAGAATGAGTTTGGTAATGTTCCTTCTGTTTCTATTTTGTGGAATAGTTTGAAGAGTATTGGTGTTAGCTCTTCTTTGAAAGTCTAGTAGAATTATGTGCTGAAACCATCAGTCCCTGGGCTTTTTTTTGGATGGGAGGCTTTTGAGGACAGCCTCTATTTCCTTAGGGAATATAAGACTATTTAACTGATTTGCCTGTTTTTGATTCACCTTTGGCAAGTGGGATCAATCAAGGAAATTGTCCATTTCATTTAGATTTTCAAATTTTGTGGCATGTAGGCTTTTGAAGCTAGACCTAATGATTGTTTGGATTTCCTCAGTGTCTGTTGTTATGCCCCCTTTTCATTTTTGATTTTGTTGATTTGGATGATGTCTCTCTACCTTTTAGTTAGTTTGGCTAAGGGTTTGTCTATCTTATTGATTTTCTCAAAGAACCAGCTCTTGATTTCACTGATTCTTTGAATTGTTTTATTTGTTTCTAATATATTATTTCAGCCCTGAGTTTGATTATTTCCAGCCATCTACACCTCTTGGGGATGTCTGCTTCTTTTTTTCCTAGGGCTTTCAGGAAGCCTTTAAGTTGCTTGTATGAGATGTTTCAAATTTACCTTCTTCTCTGCACCTCATGGAACCTTCTCCAAAATAGACCATATAGTTGGTCACAAAGCAAGTCTCAGCAGATACAAGAAGATTGAAATAATCCTTTGTATCCTATCTGGTCACCATGGTCTAAAGCTGGACCTCAACAACAACAGAAATAGCAAAATGTCTACACACACGGAAACTGAACAACTCCATACTCAATGACAGCTGGGTCAGGGGAGAAATAAAGAAAGAAATCAAAGACTTCCTAGAATTCAATGAAAATGAAGGCACATCGTACCCAAACTTATAGGACACAATGAAAGCAGTGCTAAAAGGAAAATTCATACCACTAAGTGCCTTCAAGAAGAAATTTGAATCTCTTCTTTTATAAGAACATCAGTTATTGAAATACTCTGGTCTTATTTTAACTTAATTATATCTTTTAAAGGCCATATTATGAAATAAGGTCACATTTACAGATACTTTGAATTAGGACATAAACATATATTTTGAGCTATACAAATTATAATTGTCATAGTGAGAGGTATAAGCTAAACCAGACAACTTTTTTTTTTTTTTTTTTTTTTTTTGAGACAGGGTTTCTCTGTGTAGCCCTGGCTGTCCTGAAACTTGTTCTGTAGACCATACTGGCCTCAAAATCAAAGATTCACCTGCCTCTGCCTCCGGAGTGCTGGGGTTAAACTCACGAACCACCACAACTCGGCTATGTATCATTGCTTAATTTATAATTATGAATAACATAAATCAACCATATCTGCCTTTAAAGGGAGTCTGCATATTAAATTTAAGAATCATTGCCCTCAAGCTCAATCCTGAGGGCTGTACCACATCTCATTTGATTCTCCATAGGCTGGCCCGTGCCTTCACACTGCTGCCCTCCACCCCTGATTCCCATATGTTTTACGCTTCTGCATCACAATGTCGGTTAATAACTACTCAACAGGGAGCGTCTTTATTTTGAGCTTCCTTAGATGCAGTGATTCTCTCCTTCCTCCTGCAATGTGATTCAGTCTCCTCCTGTCCCTCCGTTACTCACGTTTAACTTGTTCCGAAAGCGTCAACATAGCTGCCATCTGTTCCCGAGTCTTCTGGGAAGCTTCCCTACTCTCCCTCATCACCACTATCATTCACAGATACTGGCTGTAGCGGAGCTCAAAATAACCTCCCCTTCTCCTCCACGCCATGACAGCAGAAACAGTGGACACATAAACATCAAATGTCAGTGTGGAAGGGAAATGGTTCCAGCCATAGTTTTACTCCACAGGAGAAGTTCCAAGATACGTTCTAATCCATGCATCGAATAGATTAAGCACTGGTGCCCCTTGTAAGGACTTGTTCCTGAAGCATGCCACACAAGCATTGAGCAATTTCAGACAATACCTCCCTCTTTGCAAACAAAACGCTTTGTTGTCCTTGCTGTTGTATACTCTTCTGTGAGGAAAATTGGTGGGTTTTGAACTTAGGAGGATCTGCTCCAGTCCAAAGTTTCAATTTTACTTTGTTGAATTAGCCCATGAGTGCACAGGAGCCTAAGTGAAGGGAAGCTGGGAAAATAGAAAACGTACATATTTTTAGATCTTGATAGCTGAAATAAGGTTTTAAGTTTCACTTGGTACAGGACTAGGAGACCTTGTTTTATGTGAAAAGCACGTTGGGTTACATGACAGCATGAAAGATGATCCACACCTTTCAACCAAGATGTCACACACTAGTATTCTAGATTGACTACAATGATTATATTGTTCTAATTTGCTCTTTGCAAGTGATAATAAAGAGATATTAAGCTGAACATTTTACCTGCTCAGATTTTGAAAGTAGTGTACTTATATATTAGCATGCATTGGATTCTAACAATCTTTAATATTGTAAAAATAATAAATCACTTTTCTCTATATTTAACTTGTCCTTATGCTTAGGTTGCCATTTTCACCATAGTTTAAGATAACTTTCCATTATTTGTTAATTCAAATTTACTGTGCCATGGATAAGTAATCAGATTAGACTCTTGTTTTCCGAAGCCATTTAAATTAGTTTAGCTACTATATAACCAGTTTTGTCTATTTTAGCTAAATTTCTATGTTATTCTTAATAGGTATGCCATATTGAATTTGAGGTTAACTTTTCAAGACTATTATAAGTCAGGGATAATAGCTTGTTGCATGAGGAAGCGAGATATGAGATTTAACAATAGAAATGAAATTGAATATTGAAATATGCTCAAGAGGGTTCATTAGTATACTCAAGATAAATTCAGTATGTATAGAATTTCCAAAAAAAAAAAAAGAAAGAAAAAGAAATTAAAAATACCAAGAGGGGATCATGTGAGTTTCATGTCATAATATAAGTAGTGTATTTGCTATTTAGAAGAATCTAGTCTATATACTTAGTAAAAGCCTTCATATATTGTGTAACTGTGCACATATGTGATCTGAAGAGACCAGCATTGTTCTTCACACGCCCCTTAAAAAGGCTCACTATATGGCACCTTGTATAGTCAAAAGCCCTTTTGTTTCGAATTTTGTTTTTTAACTAGTTTTTAGAAATCACACAATCATGAATTTATTTTAGAAAAAACTCAAATTTAGCACTGATATTACCAGAGAAACTAGAACAATGACATTTAACTATTTTAGTTTGCCTGGTGCTTTTTTTAAGTAGAATATATTTTAGTATTTGTAGGCCCTCGGTAGATAAAAAATTTATTTTATTTTATTTTTTATTTTAATCACAGGTTATTCACTTTGTATCCCAGCCATAGCCCCCTCCCTCTTTCCATCCCAATCCCACCTTCCCTTCCTTATCTCCTCCCTGCCCCCTTCCAAGTCCACTGATAGGGGAGGTCCTCCTCCATTTCCATCTGACCCCAGCTTATCAGGTATCTTCAGAACTGGTGCAATGTCCTTATCTGTGCCTGAGCAAGGCTGCTCCTCCCTTGGAGGGGGTGCGGGGGACAGAGATCAAAGAGCCAGTCATTGAGTTCGTGTCAGAAATGATCCTTGTTCCCGTTACTATGAACCTACTTGGATACTGAGCTACCATGGGCTACATTCCAAGTAGGGGTTCTAGGTTATATCCATGCATGGTCTTTGGTTGGAGAAACAGTCTCATAGAAGACCCCTATGCCCTAATATATTTGGTCCTTGTGGAGCTCCTGTCCTCTTTAGGTCATACTAACTCCCCCTTCTTTCATATGATTTCCTGCACTCTGCCGATGGTTTGGTTATGAGTCTCAGCATCTACTTTGATACACTGCTAGGTAGTCTTTCAGAGGCCCTCTGCGGTAGGCTCCTGTCCTGTTACTTGTTTTCTCCTACCTCCAATGTCAATAAAAATCTTACAATTCCAGTTCATAATCTTGAGAAGTCCAAAGCATTCCCTGTCCCTGTGTAATTAAGAAAACTTTGGATGAAGCTATTATTTGTCCCAGATTATAAAATACCTCATCATCATGTAAAGAAAAGACTTTTTGAGTTTATTTTAGTCTTATTTGTTTTTGCTCGTATTGAAAACAAATTATAAGAAGGAAAACCATGCTTACCTGAAGATATGAGTATGTTTAGCAAGATTTTATTCTTGGTTAATTTATTAAGGTTTAATTATTAATTAGTATTGATAAATCAAATGCAACTACAGATCTATACATGTTTCTTCTATTCTTTACAGCTGCTACTTTTCTATGTTTGAGAACTGAACTGTTACTTAAATAAACTGACTTTATGTGTTTCTAAAAAACATTCATGTACTTTGTTTAAAAGAAACATTAATGATCCCTCAATGTCTCAGGATATTATGCATTAAATTTTGGTGAAAAATCTTATTTATCAGGAAATGCCATTGGTATTTTATTAAACTGACAACATCACCAAATAAACATTATATAAATTCATTTAAATGTGTGCTTCAAAATTACATGACTTCTTCCTGTACATCCTGTTGTATAATTGCTTTAATATTTTTTATAAGTCTGACAGAATTTACAATGACATTTTTATGAGTGTCTGCCTTTCTTTTCTATACTCAGGTTCTTTCTTTGGGAGCAGACGTCTTGCCAGAATATAAGCTTCAGACGCCGCGCATCAACAAATTTACAATCCTGCACTATAGCCCTTTCAAAGCAGTCTGGGATTGGCTCATTTTACTACTGGTCATTTACACTGCTATATTCACCCCGTACTCCGCAGCCTTTCTCCTCAACGACAGAGAGGAACAGAAAAGGCGAGAATGTGGCTATTCTTGTAGTCCTTTGAATGTGGTAGACTTGATTGTGGATATCATGTTTATTATAGACATTCTAATAAACTTCAGAACAACCTATGTAAATCAGAATGAAGAAGTGGTAAGTGATCCTGCCAAAATAGCAATACACTACTTCAAAGGCTGGTTCCTGATTGACATGGTGGCAGCCATCCCTTTTGACTTGCTGATTTTTGGATCAGGTTCTGATGAGGTAAGAGCTGCTTAAGAATTTATTTTCTAAAAGACTGCAATTGTAAAAATAAACTACTTGAATTGGAAGAAAAACTAGTTGCTTCAAAAGTTCCTAAAGCTCAAAGATGAAATTCATTTTTCACCTGGAAATGCTGTAAAATGAAATGAAGCCATTTTCTTGTTGTGAATAATTGAAATTCCTTCCATATTTCTAAGAGACACAAAAATATTCTTCATGCTGCAGCCAACAACTTAAATTTTAAACAAGTGCACAGGGCATGTAATGTACAACAGTGAGTAAAACCCCTGCAGATTAAGTTCTTAAGAAGGCTATCAAATATTAAGGATGTCTTTTGTTCGTCAGTCACTTACTGAGGTATGAACCAAAAAAAAAAAAAAAAAACTTGTTTTTTATTCAAACTATGAAAAAGAGGACACCTTATGAAACACAATTATCAAAACTCTTTCACTTCTATCTCTCATTTTGGAAAAAATACTTGATGCATATTGCTATTATCTCATAAATTTAAAAACTTTAAGGAAATATAACATATTTAAATGTGTTTGAGTGCATTTTCTGAATAGAAGGTCCATAAAAATAATCATATTTTCAAAAGAATCTTTGGGCCAGATATAGCTAGTATGTCTTTTATTTAATTGCCACTAATTGTCATAGTATATAAGTACAAATATAATGAAAATATTTACAGAATGTATGTTTCTTTCTGAGGCTTTGATAAAAATACTTGGGCCAAAACAAATTTGAGGATAAAGGGTTTATTTTAGCTCACAATTCAAGGCTTTGTTCCATCAGTGTGGGAAAGTCAAGACATCAGGAGCTTGAAGCAGACAGGCAGAGCCATAATTTCTTCTCTGTCCAGGTATTAAAAGAAGATTCTGTTAATTTCAGTTATTATGCATTTTGAAAAATGTAATATCCCTTTAATATATGTAATTCAGATAATTACTCCTTCAACAAGACTCCATTGACTAAACTAACGCAAGGGAAAGTTTAGAAGATTCACATTAGTATATGATGAAAATAGTCTAAGGAAAAATAGAGTGAAAAAGAAAAATGGAGAACTTAAAGGTTATAGAGTGAAGAAATTTCTGGAATTTTAATAAATATGCAAGTATTTTATTTTGCATATGCAAATTACCAGCAGGACACTGAAAATTTTTTAGGGAATGCAAAATTTTGTTGTTGGAGACTCTTCTAGGTATCAAAATTTCTACTGGCCTCATTCTACTAGGAATTAAAACTAAAATATAATACTTTGTTTACTGTAAATGCTTCAAAGTAGAATTAGCTACAAAAATTATTTCATTTGCTACCAGGCCTAGGAAGTTATTATTCCAGTTTTGTAGAGGCCATTAACTGGCTGTCTTGGTCTTATGTTGTACATCATTCCTACTCAGTATTAATGCAGTATACCTCATTCAGCAGCAAATGTTTGCTCAGTACCATTCAAAATGGCAGGCACAGTTCTACATTCAGAAGTCAATCAGATAAGTTTCTGCTCTCCGTGAGCTTACTTTCTCATAGAAAAGTAAGTTCTGAAATGACACAAATCAAGTGGCAACAATAATGTGTAGCTGGTGATTTGAGTTAAGATTTGAGTTAAGATTTGCAAGAAGTTTCCAGCCATGTAAGATTGCAATGCACAACATTTCAAACAAAAGAAAACAGTGGTAGCATTTACTCAATTGACTATCGGGTTTGGAATATCAAAAGAACAGAAAGAAAAATATATATATATATATATATATATACCAGTGACAGCAAGGATGAATGAAAGTCAGAGATGAGGTGCTAAGATATGAGGACTAAATCACAAAGGGGCTTGAGATATGTTTATCATGGCTTTCCTGTGATTCTTTGGGATGGAACTGACTTTGATTGACATTTTACAAGACAGTGTAGACTGTTCTTAGAGTTCTGGACAGCTGAGTTAAGAGCAAGGGACCCAGATTAAAGCTGGCCTGTGATACATGATGGAAAACAGAATGGACACAATGACACAATAGAGATGTAGAAAAAATAGGTAAATTCATTGTGCACTTTGAATGTAATCTACCAGAAACTGTTGGGTAACTAAATGTCCATAAAAAATAATAGAAAAATCAGTAGTATGGGTGATTGAAAACATCTTTTGTAGTTCACCTGTTGAATAATTCAAGTGGGAGGAGGGAGGTGGAGGAGGATGCTTTTATAAGCAACTTTTATAGAGGGTAATGTCTTCATCCAGGTGGTATAATCATGGAAAGAAAAAGGTGTATTGTGAGGGGGAAAAAGAGAGATGTTTTGACCATCATAAATATGAGATGCCTGTTAGTCATGCAGGTACAAGGGAGGAGGAGGAGGAGGAGGCCATCTTGGTAGAGCGCTCATGTTTGAAATTCTACTTTATTTGGGGTGTTTAGGCCTGTACCTCCCTTCCAACATCCCCAACCCGACACAGGAGAGAGAAAGTTAGTCGGGAGAGAGGGACCCTTTACTTCTCCTGTCATTTAAGGCTGATGTATCATTAGGGCTCTATACTAATTAATGTCTTTCAACCACAGATGCAGCTAGAAGTCTCCTCCGCGTTTCTCCATCTTACTGCTCCAAATCACCACGTGGTCTCTGGTCTTTTGAAACTGCTACATGCCACATGCCAACACCCCAGGCTGTGCCGCACGCCTCCCCCCCAGGCTCTCATATTTATATTCTCAAAGTCCTAGACCACACCCATTCTTGTGCGGCACGTGGAAGGCCATGACCAGGTAGCAAAAGCCACGCTCCACATGAGACAATTAGCAGCTTCAGAGAAGCGGTAGCCCAACCAAAATCCCACACTTGGGATTAAGAGAAAAGCATATTTACATAACATAACTGAGTTTACAAAGAGACTAAAACTTCCATTACCTCTTGCAAAACACCATCTCAATAGATACACAAATACAAATACACACACACACACACACACACACACACACACACCTGAAATATTTGGTACGGAGATAAACTTTAAAACTCAAGACTTTCTGTTTTAATTGTGCAGTTTAAACATATGAGACTCAGAGCCAAACTTTAGGCAAAGTGCAGGAAATGTTATGAAAGATGGGGGAGATAGAAAGACCTGGAGGGGACAGGAGCTCCACAAGGAGAGCAACAGAACCAAGAAATCTGGGCACAGGGGTCTTTCTGAGACTGATACTCCAACCAAGGACCATGCATGGAGATAACCTAGAACCCCTGCACAATTGTAGCTCATGGCTGTTCAGTCTCCAAGTGGGTATCCTAGTAATGGGAACAGGGGCTGTCTCTGACATGAACTCAGTGGCCTGCTCTTTGATCACCTTCCCCAAGTGGGGGAGCAGCCTCACCAGGCTGCAAAGGAAAACAATGCAGCCTGTCCTGATGACACCTGATAGGCTAGGGTAAGAGGGAAGGGGAAGAAGACCTCCCCTATCAGTGGACTTGGGGAGGGGCATGGGAGGAGATAAGGGAGAGAGGGTGAGATTGGGAGAGGATAAGGGATGGGGCTACAGCTGGGATACAAAGTGAATAAACTGTAATTTATAAATAAATAAATATTTTTTAAAAAATCATATAAATGTAGTGGCCACATTTGGAATACAAACATCTAGGCTTTCATTCACTTATGGGTGAACATTACATACAAATATAATAAGAAAATTAATTAAGATATTATGTTCTACTGATTAAAAGCTTGGAGCAATTTCTTGCTGAATTATTTTAATGATTTTCTCTTATATATTAACATTGTCAATTAGGTTAGAGAAAATATTTTTTCTCAATGTCAATTAAACATAAATTTTTTTCTTCACCTGAATGTTAAACTATTGTATTACTTTAATTTTATTTATAGTCAACTCAAAAACTCCATTTTTGTAACCATACCATTTTATTTATAAAACATATATGCTAACAAGAGGATAATGTGACAATACAGTTTTACTAAAGAAGACACAATTGCCCATAATTTTCAAACTAATATTTGCTATAATTAAATGTGATTAGTAATAACTAAAGGATCTCCTTTATTTCTAAAAACATGTTGAGCAAAATGAATGCTGATTATTACTGGATTTGCTCATGTTAATATCTTACTGATACTGATATCATCTAGAAAGGGAAATAATTCCATGGTTCCTAACTTTGCCTTCATCAACCATGAAACTTTCACAATTTGCTTCAGTATCATTGATGCTGAATACGATATCATTCCCTTAGTCTCCAGATAGTCAACTTTGATTAAGTGCCTAATAGTTCCCCATATTTGGTTTATCCATGGCAAATTTCAAGCCATTAACATTTAGATTCTAGAGAACTCTGATTAGTAACATCAATCATTATTTCCTTCCTCCCCTAAAAGTTAAAATTCTAGTTTTCAGTTACTTGCTTTGTGGACTTCTGATTCATGCTTTAGTGATTTTTCTTTTTTAATGAATTCCGAATGCACCCAAGAAAGGCTTCGGGATCAAAATAATTAGGGCTCTTTGCCGCAAAATTCAAATAGTAAAGTGGAATTTCTGCTCACAAAAAAAATGTTTCACTCATTGCTCTGAGAGATGAACTGTGGAGTGAAGATGCAGAAAACTTTAATAGCCTTCTGTAGAAATTCTGATCACCTTGTGGTCTTCAGGATCGGTATCATGAATCTACTAGCCATTATTATGTAAATGAAATATTCATCTTCCACTTGACATAACACATCACAGTTTGAAAAGATGCATACATGTGCATGTCAATAACAAAACTCCCTCTCTTTAGATAGTCTTATGAATTTTTTACAAAAGTTTCTCTCGGCTCCCCCTTGAAGCTTTGATTTAGCCTCTCTGTGGCATGACAAGTGACATAAATATAAGATATCCAATTGAAAAAAGAAAAACTGTTTTTCTTTTTTTAATTTTTTTCACACTTTATTCATTACGTATTCCGATTAAGCCCCCTCCCTCAAATCCTCCTAGTCTCACCTTTCTCCCTTATTCCCCTCTGTCCCCTTCCCCTAG